GATCTATGTGTCTGTTTCCCAGCCCTGCAAGTTCCTCGTGGACACGGTGTTTGCCAAGGCCATGACTGTCAGACAGTCTAAAGAGGAGCTGCTCCCTCAGTTGAAAGAGCAGTGCAAGCTTGACCTAAGCATTGACAGGTAAGACTTTCTTACTGCACATTAATAAGGAGGAAAAACATGAAAAAGCTGCAAGTGTTAATCAACAAATGTGTGTGTGTGTGTGTTCAGTGTTCGTCTCAGGAAAAAGACATGGAAGAACCCAGGCACGGTGTTTCTGGACTACCATGTCTATGAAGAAGACATCAGCATCTCCTCCAACTGGGAAGTCTTCTTGGAAGTTCTTAATGGTAACACTCATTTTGAAGTTTCTTTCAAACACGTTACAGTGGGTTACTGTCGGATTTTTTTTTTTTTTTTGTACTGTTGGACTTCTGGATCACTAAAGCTGAAGTGATGAATTTCAGAACCAGAGAAGATGAAGTCCATGTCGCAGCTGGCTGTCCTGACCCGGAGGTGGAGCCCCGCCACGATGAAGCTGGGGCCCTTCCAGGAAGTTATTCTGGAGAGCAGCAGTGTAGAAGAACTCAAGGAGAAGGTATGTCTGTATTGTGCTGGATGGTTTTTATAGTTTGTCATGTAATTTATACTAATCAAAAGTTAAGTTTCTTAAATCAGAAGTGCAGTTACAGTGCTCTCATCCTGGTCAACCAACACGGGTTACCGAAATGCAGAAGATCAATCACACCATCGATAAAAAACCACAAAACTGTTTTCTAGGGCTGTACTGGACCAAGAATTACGTCAGTCAGATTGGATTTGGCTGTTCAATATCAATATTCGACTATTTATTCCTTTTTTCCATGTAGTTTGAGAGTTTGAACAAGGTTTGGCAGGACATGCAGGGCAAAATTCACATAATATATTCAACAAGCCAACTTAGCCCTGCGAGCTAATGTGTGCTAACTGTGCCAACAACCTATCAAGAATGTGCAACATTTTTTGCCGACACTAGGTATCAAACAAAAGCCAGAGATCTCCGGGCAGTTGCCTCCGTTTTATTAGACTCACCTTGGGTTTTGGGCCGCAGCTGCCTGTACCAGAGAGCAGGGTGAAAGCGAGGAACGCTCACTCTGCAGCAAATTCTGGGGGCCGGAACATCTCTAGAAGTACACTGCATACTGACAGACTGAATTTTTAGTTGATTGAGGGATCTTCGACTTACGATTCGAATCTTTGACTTTCAGGAGGGAGCCCTACTATATTTCATAATGTTTGCTTGAACAAGGAATTGTCCAAGTACCTATTATTTGCCTTTTGTGACTAATCTCTGTCTTCCATTTGCAGCTTAGTGAAATGAGCAATATTCCTCTGGAAAACCTGGAGTTTGCAAAGGTATGCAGTCCCTCACACAGGACAGCTGTGATTCTTCTTATGCAGCTTTAGTTTCCCTTCTTTAAACTGTCTCATCATTGACTGAGAATCCATCCGTCTGTTGTGTGCAGGGTAGAGGAACATTTCCTTGTGATATTTCCGTGTTGGAGATTCATCAGGATTTGGACTGGAACCCAAAAGTGTCGACTCTAAAAGTGTGGCCTCTGTACATCTGTGACGACGGAGCAGTGGTCTTCTACAGGTAAGGCTATCAGAGGGACCACAGGGCAACAGAATAGGCACAGATACAGGAATTAATTTAGAGAGTGTCCGTCTTATTTAGTGCTTTGTCCCTTTATTAAGACTTGAAACTGTAGCTTTGTGTGCTGGGGGATTGATTCCAGCCCACCTGTCACCCTACAAAAGGAGGTATAGGATAAGGATAGACCCTTGGTATTTATTACGTATTCACTATATGTTTTATATTTTATTTCTCTGTAAAGCACTTTGAATTGCCCTTGTGCATGAAATGAGCTATACAAGTAAAGCTGCCTTGGCTATATGGTTTAATTGGTTATCAACAAATCCCTAATGCTGACATTGTGTAACATTTCATTACTAATTTTAAGAATTTGAAAGCTAATGTACATGGAGGCAGAGAGCTCTTGTCTCCTTCATTTATCAGAATACCTTATAGGATAAAGTCCACAGAGTAGATGTCAACTCACTGAACCACATCATAGCTGCTTCGTATACTAAATTTTAAACATTTGTCTTGAGATGAACATTTCTGTGATCTCTGTGCAGGGACAGCACAGAGGAACCTATGGAGCTGTCAGAGGAGGAGCGCAATGAGCTGATGAAGAAGGAGAGCAGCCGTCTGCTCAAGACTGGACATCGTGTCAGCTACTCACCACGCAAGGAGAAGGCCCTCAAGATCTACCTGGACGGAGGCCCTGCCAAAGACCCGGGGCAGGACTGAGGCACTGAGCTCCACTCCTCATTATCTGGATCGCTTGGCTGCTGCAGCAAAGCAACCGGGCTGCCGAACTCATCTTGAGTGTCGGGCCTGCTAAGTTACTTGAACATCAAGCAGCGCTGTGAGGCTGACATGCTCTCACCCTCCACTCTGAGCCCTGGGACTGGCTCAGAAAACCCTATCGTGCACTATAGTGTATTGTACTGTAAAGTTTAAAGGGAAGTACAAAAGCTATTGAATACAGAAAAATGAATCAAATACTGTATAGACAAATCAGTTGAACGTAAAAGCTCCAGAGATGGATGCAGAGATGTTAGGACTGTGAAACTGGTCTGGAAGGCATCCATCCTGTCTATTTAAGTCTCCCGTCTCCTTTCACATCAGTTTCTCTCACTCTCCTCCCCGTCACTGCGTGTGTTCCCTTCCTGTTTCAGGAATAGTGTTGATTCTGATTCTCTTCATCTTGTAAGCCCATATGCTCACACCTCTCGAGCACTGCTCTGTTACAGTAGTCATTCTTATCTTGCATTGCTCACCCCTCCTACCACCCCTACTCAAAAACCAACAGCACACACACAACCGAGAACTACTTATCCAGCCTTCCTCACCTCTTCTGGCAAGACAAGCCTCACTTTCTCAGTGACTTTGACAACGTCCTCCACAAGATTTGATGAAATAAAAAAGCAACGATTAAGAATTTGTAAAGCAGAGGTTGTTTCTGCTCCTATAATAGCCGGAGTAATGTGTCATTATGGGTTGTCCTTACCCATAAGTTACTTTGTGCTCTTTGTGCTTTACAGGAGCTTTACTTCTGTTACCACTTCCACTAGATCTAATGATACATAGGCTATTGGTCCTGTAATACAAAGTACAATGAAACAAAACCAAGTAGACTGTGTTAAGGATCTCCTTGTTTTGTTTTGCTTGTTTGTTGTAAATTATTATTTTGCTCCAGACGTAATCATTCAGTTAGGTCTTGTGAGGCTCCAGGCACACATCTGTTGTCTGTATTAACCTTTAATTTAGAAAGAAAGTGGATTTCTTTGTTGTTGGTCTTTTTTTCTTTGCACCATGTGAACTGGGTGTACATCTCTAGTGTCATCCATATGTGTGTGTGTGTGTGTGTGTGTGTGTGTGTGTGTGTGTGGTGTACTGAAGGGAGGGAGCTCTCTGGGTTTTTTTTCCAGAGAGCGTGAGGTTGTTTTTTGGCGCTTCTACCTGCTGCTGCTTGATAGACTGACACCAGACGGTGTACAAAGCCTGCTGGACCTCTCAGTCCGCCCGGGCAACTGGTCTGAAGACTGAGGCTCGGCATCCCGGCCCCTCTGGGCTCCTGATGCTGCCACCAGCTATCCACTGTAGAAATGCCAATATCTGGAAAAAAAAAATCCTTTTTTTTTTTGTTGTTTATTTCTTTCAGATTCCTGTGTGAACATAGTTTAAGATGATTTTAGAAAGGAATTAAAATGCTTTTTTTCATAACTGCAGTTTTCTTTCACTGTAAATTAAAATGGCTTAATTTAACTTCACAGATCCTACTCACCTTTTTAAGAAAAGGGGGTGTTGGTGTTAAAAAAAAACTTTTATTTTTTTCTAAAGGCAAGATTTGTACAAGCTGCATGTCATGTTGAAGTGCGTAAGAACAGTGCAGAGTTTACATTTGACAGTTGTAGCTGTATGGAAGTTAACATCCAGCACCAGCTGTAAGTACAAAAGCTTTATTCACACACATACACCAGGTATTGCTTGCAATCGTCTTCCTGGCTGAATGTTGAAAGGGTGAGTCACACAAAGCACATACAAGCATTAAGGGGTGGAGGCTAATGTTTGGGAGTCTAGGATTTGCACACACTCCTTGACATTTCTACATTTCTCCAGCGTATATGGCATATGACGGGATTTGTGTAACTAAAAAAAAAAAAGCTGAGCTACCTGTGATACAAGTCTACAAGTCATTGGAGCATGCATGTCATTGTCTAGCCTACAATGTTGTGTTGCCTACTCAGACAAGTCTTGGGTTTACATACTTGGGACCAACAGAATAATGGATTGTAATAGATTGTAAAAAAAAAAAAACACCTATCTTGCTGGAGGACCTGATGACACTGATACTGGCACATCAGAATGGAGATGATGTGTCTGATAAAATCATGTAGCTAATAAACTGCTTTTGTAGACAGAAGACTAGAAGTTATATGTGGCAACACTCCTGTAACGTTATCCCCAATACTTGCAGTGTTACACTGTTCCACCAGTAGAGACTGACCTCTGGTGGTGCGTGCAGTGCACTACATTGCCTCAATATAGCATCTCCATGTTAGTTTAAGAGAAGGAAGAGCATCTGTATTTTTGATGATGTTGAAAATCATACCTTCGGGATTCCTTAATATCCCAGTAGACCTTATAACCTTGATACCGCTCAAGCCTATTTGGACCCACAGGGGTGTGCCACATAAGCTGAAGATGCAGGTGTATACAACAGCTTCTTGACCAATCAAAACTGGATCTTAAATTAAAACCAAGTTGTGCCAATGATGTGAAAAAAAGTGGCATTTGGGCTGATAAGTGAAGCTTAAACAATAAAACTTGTCCCTTTTATTCTTTGGGACGAGAGGAATAAAACTTGTAGAAAAGGCTCCTGCACACTGACTTGCAAAAGTAATGATTTTAATGGTGCAATGTTTCAGTGACTCAACTCTCATTAGGCAAAACTGATGGATTTGCCATAACATGGCATGTGTGTTTCCTCTTGTTGTGCATGTAATAACAAGTCATCTCTGTGCCATAAAAATAGATGCCCAGGTGTTGGCAAAAACATAGTCCTCAAAGCAGCAAAGCAGATATTGCTAGAGTGAAGCAAACATCATGTGGGGAAGAAGCTTTGTTACAAACAACTTTAGGATATTGACGCAGGCAGAATTATTAATTTACTCTAAAACAAACTTTGAGGTTTTATCAGACATGTAAAAGGGTGCAAATTAGCTGTTGTAGTCATTGGTAGCAGCGATTTAAATATTAAATATTTGCAGAATCTTTTACCAGAGACTGCTGACGTCTCATGGTAGTGTTGACTTCTGTAGATAAATATATGTGTAATATACAGTTATTATTGCTTGCTTCTGTGATACTGTATTGTTAGTCACACAGTACATGAAGCATTATTGTACCTGGCTGGATACTCAGGTGTTCAGAGCTGCTACTGTGGGTTAATTTTAATTGTAGCACTCTATAATTAGATAAGGGTTAAAGTTGTAGTACAATATAGAGATGCAGCAAATAGTCAAGAAACCAGTGTTTAGTATCACACGGGACTTTGAAAATATAGTGTTTCCTGTTTTTGGTTAGTGACATTTATATCAACATTTTCAGAAACCTTTAAGGATTGTAAACCTCAGGTCGCAATTACAGCAAATGAAATAAATATATTCTCATCCATTTTCCATGCTGTGTAGCTTCACCACTTTGGGTAAAGCTGGCAAGCAGAAAGTGCAGTGGCTCTTTGCAGCGAAGCTCTGGAGTCAGTGGAGACTCCTGTCTAGTTGTTTACAAGGCAATGTGAATTGAATCAAATGTGTCTAGATGATATAGTCTATCTCTGAGTACAGACTGTCCGTCAGGTCCTCTTCACTCGAGTCCTCTCCTTTAAGGCACATGGACCCTCGCCTGTCAAAAAGCAGAGCACCGTAGTATTGTATGGGGATAAAAGGTGGTGAGTGACATGTATATGAAGCCTCAATATCTTAACAGCAAATACATGATATAAGAAGACATGATTTGCTATTAAAGGAGCAGTGTGTAAGATTTGGGGGGATTTAGTGGCATCTAGTGGTGAGGATGGCAGATTGCAACCAGCTGAAACTCCCAATAAGAAATCATTTAGTGTTCATTGTTCAGGAGGTTTTTATCGGGAGCCGAATTATCCATAGAGGTGTATTCCTCTCCAAAACAAACTGACCTAGTGATTTAAAGCGGTAAATACACTATAAAAGTAGTTTTACGTTACAAATCAGTGTTTGACACTGTTGGGCATGTCGGAGACAGGTAGCTAGCCCAACACCTGCTAATGTGTGCTCACATATTTTCTCTGATAACTTAAGATCAGATATTCAGGAGATTGTTTGGTGAGCTGAATAATCTGAGTCTTTTCCTCTCCAAGATAAACAAAACTGGTGATTTAAACCGGTAAAAACACTGAATAAGGCAGTTCTATGTTTAAAAAATAAATCTGTTTTCACGACATTACTCATCACTGAGGGGCTGCTAATTACGGTGGCTGACGTGAAAACACCAATTGTGCTATCTAGAGCCAGTCTTTGTCCTTTCTGGGCCACTGTAGAAACACTGCAGACTCTGTGGATGATGATCCGCCTCCTATGTAGACAAATAGCTCGTTCTACGATAACGAAAACACAACAATTCTTCTCAAGTGATAATAATCTAATGGAAATGTACTTATTATATTATCTTCCATTTCTGCCAACATATCCCCCTAAACCCTTCACACTGGACCTTTAACTGCACTGTACTCACCCCAGGTGCTGGCAGTGCAGACCTCCTGCACAGGGACAGTGTTTCCTGGGTCCCTCGTCCTGCGTGTCCCAGGACAACAGCTCCAACAGATGGTTGGATGCACCGAAGCAGCGCTCACGCTCAATGGGCTTGGCCGAGCAGACGGGAAAGAGCAGGGCTGAACGCACAGAGATAACACTCAGATACATTTTGTGAGAGACTGCAGAGAACCACTAAGCAGCATATACTACACTGTGTGTCTTACTGTACCTTTATGGAAAAGACAGCAGAGGTCTGGGCTGCAGTCGGTCTGGTACTGACAAGTGCTGCCAGCCTCTCCTTTGGTTGCATTCAGAGTGCACTGACCCCATACGCACAACTGCTCACCACAACACTCCTTATCCTTAGTGCAGGACTGAGAGAATGGAGAAACAGCTTTAATTTTCCGAACATTTCAGTAGATATCTAATGCAAATTATGTTTGTCACAGTGGCGTCTTAAAGGTATATGGTGCAGGAGCTTGCCAGTGAACGTTAAGTAAAAGCCAACCCCAGATTCACTCTCATTTGGTGTTTTGACTTGCTATACTTGCATTTCTTCTGCGCTGTGTCTCTTGGATGCCTGCTGCTTTATTTATTTTTGTACTTCTAATATAAATGCGGTGCCAGACTGCATGAAAAACCATCAAAATAGAGCTTTTTTATCAAAAAAGTGCCAGGAGAGAATCCGACAGACCCCCCGACAGAGGTCCGATCTAAGCCCTGAAAAGCCCCTGGGTACAGCGACCTATGTTGGACTGCTGTGACTGGCCCCTGGCCTCCTGTCATCTTGCAAAAGTGGCCCCTGGGCAAAGCAAGTTGAGTATCCCCAGTCTATACAATGCTTTTAAGGAAAATCCTGCATAGTGTGTATTTTAAAGTCATAAAAATTAAAACCCAGCATGCACCTTTAGTTCAACAAGGCTGAAACTCACTGCAGCATTAATGACATTAATTATTCTCTAAGTGTGAAGTCCGCTGATGCTGTTTTGGTTAAATATAAATGAGATCAGCGGGTCAACTGGTCTCTGATAGCAGTGAGACAGGTTCCTGTTCCTGCACACCTTCTATGAATTGTTAATTCAGAGATATAGCTAACAGTGTTCTGGTTATTTCCATGCAGAGTTTTCCAGTGCAGTGCTTCTGATGAGACACAGATCCTGTCCTCTGTGTATTTATTATCTACTCACACTGCGCTCATGTTGGCAGACCGCCAGTATCTTTATCCCTTTGCATTGCTTTTGTTTCTGCTACACTGAGACCAGTTCATCCAGTGAATACACTGCAAAATCAGCAGCAGTAACCAAGTCTTAAATAAAACCAATGGGTGACTCTCTGGAGAGACGACTCTCATTATTACTAATATTCTTTTTGCTCCAGACATCCTCTGAGAGACGAGCTCTTATTTAACCTTGACATGTCCTGTTCTTTCTTTTAAGCTCATAGGACAGAGTGCTCACAAACAACACACTCCAGTTACACTTGTGGACACACTGCAATGCAGTCGAGGTGAAACCCCAGCTGGCCGGAAGTGGCTGTCTGTGCGTGTGTATGTGTTTGAGAGTGACAAAACATTATAGAGAGATCTGGCGCCCATATAAAGGTAGCTTTAGATTCACTTACCACATCCACAGCTTTGCAAGGCAGACACTTGGAGTTGCGTTTGTCAGAAAGGCAATACTTTCCCTTCCCACAGTCCCCATCACTGATGCATCCCTAAAGATGAGACAGAGGAAGGATCAATTTGAACTCCATGGTTTGGTCCAAATTCAGTTATTATGTGAAATAAGATGGTCCACTTACATATAGAAACTATGTTAAATATGCTAAGCAAATGTTAACATCAGACTTTGAAATGTTCAGCCACTCCATCCATCTCTATTGAACCCCAAAGTCAAGAGAAACTCTGGATTTAAAACACATTCAGGTCACAGTATTTTGTCCATAATGCAAAGTAAAGAACTAAATAAATTAAAGTTTCAGGTTGCATATCCTTCCTTGGAGCTAATTAAGAAGGCAGAACATATTTATGAAGAAAGAGGCACCTCCTCCAGTTTTATTTTTATCTCTTGCAACTGGGACAGATTCTTGTCCCAGAGTTACCATGTAATCAGCCATTTACCTCTCCTGTCTTTTTATCATGTGTCTAACAGCATATATTTAATGGACTCCCTCCTGCCAGTATACAAAGTTACAAAAACATAACAGATAAATGTATTCCCTGATATGTTTTACCCACTCTAAGCCAGTGGTTCCCAACCTGGGGGTCCTGACCCCCACTACGGGTCACCAAAGCTTCATGTAGGGTCCTGCGGGGCCTTCTTGATTTTAAAGGGTGTCAGACAACTTTATTTAAAAAATAAAAAATAACAGCAATGTTCTGCTGGGAGACCTTGGGTCCTGGCATATATGTGGATGTTGATTTACGCACTCCACTCACCCAAACACTGTTGCAGAGCATGCAAACCCCCTCATGGCAACAACACTCCCCCATAGCAAGGAAGCAAGCAGGAAATCTGGGAATACCCCATGGTGTCTGGCACCAGGGTCTTCACGGCAGATTCTTTAAGTCCTGTGGATTGCGAGATGATGTACTAGCATGTCCCAGGGATGCTCGATTGGATTTAGATCTGGGGAATTCCGCGGCCAAGTCAAGGCCTTAAGCTCTTTGTCATGTTCCTTGGATCATTCCTGAGCAATCTTTGCAGTGTGGCATGACACATTGTCCTGCTGGGGGTGCTACTGCCATTGTGGAGTGTTGTTACCATGAGGGGGTTTGCTTGGTCTACAATGGTGTTTGGGTGAACATGAATGCTAGGACCCCAAGATTCCCAGCAATACATTGCACTGTAACACTGACAGAGCCTACACTCTGCTTAAGTGCCTTGTCCTGCATTGGAAATGTATGCAGTTAAAACAACCAAAGAGCTAATAGAGCAATGGTCAAGCATCAACGATAAGAAAACACTGAATTTGTCAAAAGGAAAGCCCACAGCGAACAGAGAATTGTATTGAGAGTTACTAAAAGTATCAGGAAAACTCATCTCTGACGCAGTATTCCCGGGAAATATTCCTCCAAATCGCTCATTTCACACAAACGTCCTGCAGTTTATCACTTGTTAAGTACTGTTTTTGTCATGCATCAAATATAATATGAAATGACCATAAAATACATCACTTAGTCAGGGGCCGTCAGTTGACTCAGTGATAAAAAGAGTCTCTTTATACGACTATACTGTAAATAACCATGCTTATATATCTGTGTTGTTGCATAAAACCCTCTCCTGTTAGAAACTTAAATCCTAAAAGCGAATTCCAGTTACACGCAGCAAAGCACGCATCATCACTTATTTAGCAACATTACTGTACAGTCATCATTTTGATAAACAAACTCAACAAATCCCCTGCGTGTCAGCATTTCTTTCAACTTTTTCATTTTTTCACATAGCGCAGGCGATGAATGAAGACACGAAATCACACTGCGCATCCTACACACACACTGTCTGATTCATTTGCAGACATTATGCCAAGTCAACGACTGTGATGCTGCTGCCAGACATTATGCAATGCTGAGGCCTTTTCATGTCCAGGAATTCAAACTCAGCAGTCAAAAGCAATATGAAAAACACAAGGTTTCTGTTTAAAGATAGAGTTGTGTATCAATGAAGACTGTAGGTAAACACGATAAACTTACATGATCAATATTGTTCCCGAGGTCACTGGACTGGACGGCTGCGGTCACAGTGATGTTGTTTGTCTCCTGTGCAAAGGCAGCACATCTGTTTAGGTTCATTCACACAGGGACTCAAACACTATCTCAGTTTTTGTTTACTGTTTATGAGCCTACCTGCTCTGCTGAGGTGTGGACAGACTCGTTATCAATCACATTATCAGCTGCAGTTTCATTGTGATGACTTGGAGGAAGGTTATTGGGATGAGGGCTGGGACTGACACTCTCGTTGTTCGTCTGGAAGGATCAGGGAGATTATAAGACACAGATTACATGTAAAGAGATGCAGTAAGAAGTCACTCCCATATTCTAGCTCCTTCCACTGCTGCCCCTGCCTCCAAGCTTTAGGCTGTTTCTCACTACAGATATAAGTGTTTGATTCCCTTTTAAAAGATTCTCACAATGCCATAGGTTGTTTTCTGCAGTGAAATACTGCTAAGTCATGTTAAAAGCAAGATGCTGACAGTCAACTGCCTGCCTACTTGATGAAATGCATCCTCAGGCTTCTGCTGCGGATCATCTGGCAGCTGCTCCACTTCCACAAACATGCGGTCCAGCTCCGTCTGTCCCTGGGCAGGATTATCCTCCAGGATGTGACTGATGCCTGAGTCCACTATCTCAGGGAGGATGCCATTGCAGACTGCTGTGAGAGCCAAAACTAGCAGGGCGACTCGTGTCATGCTGCTGCTGCTGCTGTTGCTGTTGCTGCTGCTGCTGCACTCTGACTGAGGGTGTGGCGGTGATGCTGCGAGAAACACAACAAACGTCACCACAGCTGATGCGTCTCCGTCACTGAAAGGGTCATCACCTCATACATGTTAACAATCTTCATAACATGCTCTGCTAACAGGTAAAACCTCCCAGTTATGATATTCAAATATAAATATATGAAAAAAAGTTTCTAAATGTATCGTTGGTTTTCTCTTAATTTAACCGGGACACCTCAAACATAGTTCCGGTCAAGTTTAACCACGCGGAGTAAACGGCCGGTAACCATGGCAACAGAATTTTTAGTTCATGCTAGCTGGCTAGTATTTAGCATTAACCCTAGCTAACTGGTCAAAGAAATTTAGCCTAACGGTTGACAAAGTGTGAATTTGATATTAAAAACAAACCTAAAATGGACGATGCCCAAAGTCTGACATTGCTATATTTTTCTGTAGTCAGTGTCCAAGATGAAACTGCAATATTGAACACCGGTCCTGATGTAACGTTGGCTATCGCGAGCTAATTAAGTAAGACTGTACGGACAGTACTGACCATATGAAGAAAATTTCACAGATTACCGAGTAAAATAATCGGTAATCTGTGAAATTTTCTATTAATTAAAATTGAGCTCTATGCTACATAACCGTACTGTGAGAGATGAGAATTAGTAAATATTGAAAATGTGATACTCAATAATAAGGGACTGTTCGTTACTTATGAGGGAGGAGGAGATGGTGCAAAATTCGGAAGGCAGGTGTAAGCCCCATTTATCAGTGATTTTATTGTTGGATGGTATGACTTGCTAGAATATAGAAAGAAATATTCTTCAGTGTAATGTTGGAGATTGTGAATATGTGTTGTTACTTTGTTCCTGTATATTTTAACCATTGTGAATCTTTATTGTGGTCCTGTGCAGCTTCCATACCTACATGACAAATGAACAGGAAGTGAAACTTTTATTGTGAAATGTTCAGTTTTGAGTGAAATATATACGAGTGACAGCAGAGCAACATGATTGTTTTACTGAAGAAAAAAATAAGGAATGTAGTAGCACTGTGTAGTAAATAGTAAATAAAAAAATCAGTTGCTCCTCAAGCATAGGGCAAATAGTCACATAAAGACAAAAAACAATGACTGGCCTGTTCACTCAGTGTAAAACTACACAGTACAGGCAGGCAGTCCAAAAATGCATCCTAGGCACTCTAACTGTAGTTAAAAATTCTTTACTGATTCATGGAGAAACTAGTGTGTTTCGACTAGAGAGTCTTCATCAGGGCATGACTGTTTTACCGTGGGTCTCAACAAGTAAAGCAGTCTCATGTCATCCCTAAAATATGGTTATTTATGGATGTGAGTTAAAGAAAGACGAAAACAATGCAGAATAAAGTTAGCGACTACAGCATGTCAAATAACATTTTAAAATCTAGGGAGGGACTTGTGTTTTATTTTGGCATCTGGGAGGGACATACAACGCTAATGTTGTATTTTATATTTATTTTAAATACCCTCTGAATCCTAAAATCTCCCTGGTGGGTTTGAAAAGCGTGTTTTACTTAAGAATTGCCAAAATACACCCTTTAAATCACAGCCAGAAACTGTAAAAACAGACATTATTGGCAGATTTTCAAATTTGGACTGAACTTAAAGACATCATGATGTAGGTGTCAGTCTTCAAAGTCACTTAATTCTATGTATCAATTAGAATTAATTTTTTTGCCAAAAATAAAATGTTTGCACTAACCAGATTCTGTGAAAAACATTTAATTCTGCTCTCCTGCATGCATAAAAACAAACAATAAAAAACAACAACCCTCCAGTACTTTGTTTTCAATTTCTTTCTATTCTAACTACATTTTCAAAATCAAATAATGTCCACCATACCAAGTTACTGACATGGTCACTGGACAGTTTTTTTTCCTCCCAAAATGTTTGCTTGCTGCATTGGCTCCAATACCTAACTTTGGTGTGAATGTCAAAAAAAAAAGAAAAAAAAAGAAGAAACACACAAACAAAAAAAGTTATTTGTGGTAGAGGGAGCGTCATGCACTTGTTCTCCAGTCAGTCGGAGAGGCTCAAGTAAAAATATTTGTGGCTAAAAAATAGATTTTAAAAAGTCACATATAAGCCACCCCCTTCCTCTGATAATTAAAGAACACCCCCCAAGCAGTTTTGAGGAACAACTTTGAGGCAAAAAAATGGTCTGCATGACAACTGTATTCAAAGGCATGTTCTGAAATTGGTGCACTGTGTCCATTTTCCAATGCTGCGGGCACCACACACAAAATGCAGTTAATCTTCATTGTATTGTGGCAGAGGCAGAAAGGTCAAACATGATCTAATAAAACGTGGGACAAGTTCTAAACCATGGCCACTCTTTAGTTAAGTGAGAAAATACATTTCATATGGGTGAACTGATCCTTTAAACCAGTCTTCCTGTAATTGTAGTTCCTGGTCTGGCCACAAGATGGCGACATTTGCTTTTATAGTGAATACATGTGGGCAGAGGACTTAACTTCGTGCGCACACGTTTGCAGTGTTTGTTTAATGGTTTTGTCCATGTGCTGTATGGACTCCAGTGTCTGCTGACGCTGTCAAATGTATAGTGTGTGGACCAACTGTGGCGCGGGGCGTAGGCCCAGGTGGTCTCGTGCAAAATGAGGAGCAACGAATGAAGTTTGCGCTGGATGTTTGCTTTTGTGGTGTATTTTGAAGCTATCCTAATCCTTAAAAGTTTAGTTGAGGCTCATGCCCATGCCTTTAAGTAATTAAATGCTAAGTATGTTATGATTTAGCTTTTATTTCTGTCCAGTTTCTTAGATTTGCAGCCCACCCAGATTTAATTCATTCCTATAAATAAATGCAACCTGTTGTGCAATTAGTTATAATACTCGTGTGGGGTGAACTCACAGGCTCTCAGCAGGCGGCGGGTGGTCGGTGAAGAAGTGAAATATGTCTTTGGCATGAGTAAAGTTGGATCCTGTGGATTCAACAGCAGCCACAGAAGCTGCTCAGGGATGTGTCTGACTCTGCAGCCCCGCCCTCAAACACTGGACTCCGCTGCTCAGAGAAACTGCTGCTGCCTGTCAGGCTGACTGAGGACCGACTAACTTTACACAGCAGTCCAGGAGCGAAGACACTGGAAGGAAGAAGAGTTTGATTGAGATGTGAGGTCAGTTCTTTTGTTTTACACTTTGTAGCTTATGTGTCTTTCCCTAAATAAGTGGTCGGGGTGAGGCTGAGACACCTGACAGAGGTGCTGTTTTCCTTGTTTGAGAATAGTAGCAAGTTTGACAAGGACTCTATAGTGTGACAACCAGGCTAGATTAAGGTTGTATGAAAAGTTATTGTAAAGGGAATAAACAGGCTATCATCAGAGTAGTCCACGGGTCACAGTATGGACCGACAATGGTCACTACATTAGTATCAGTTGGGATGTTGATTGAGGTAATGTTGATTTGTTTGCTGCTGTTTGGCTGAGAGCAATGTTGTTTTGCTCCTGGTGAGTTTGAAGTTTTATGAACACGTGCTGAATCTCGCATTTTACCGTGATCGCCGTGATTGAACGCTGTCTGACAGCAGGCAGACATCTGGGCTTGTCTCTGTCTCCCTGATAACACAAAGGTTATCTCCACTTGCGCAAGCTGCATTTTTCTTAAGCTGGTGTTCATGTCATAAATCACTTTTGAGCATACATCCCTTTTGTGACTGTGTGGCAGCTTTTCAAACATGCCTCTATGCAAACCCATTCAAAACTAGAGTAAGAGCCAGTTGAAGTTCAAAGAGAGCAGAAACAGGTAGATCCCGGTTACAGTCGTTCCTCACCAAATCCCACCATTAACTAAAAGCTGTCCTGTCAGTACAAGTTAACTAACTGGCTCTTTTGACTCCACCTGCTCAGCAGCCTCCAGGCTGTAAATAGCCTTCATTCTGTCTTTGGGTTGTTGTAATACAACAGACTGCATAATAAAGAAAGGTGTGGTGCTGACAGTCTGAACTGTGAGGTTACCAAATGAAGCTCAGTGAGTGACAGAAACTGCTACTGTTAATGTTTTCTCCTGTGGGTGCAGGTTAATATGCAGCCACTGCCACTGATCAAACACAGCTGAACTTTTGACATTGGATTCCCAACAAAGCAGGAAAAAACAGATTCAAATTTGGACCAATGAGGAAAAAAAGCTTCTCTCACTTCCAGGTTTCAAAATACAGCATGAGCACTCAGTCTGGTATGATTCATGTGTCTTGCCAGATGATGCATGATTTGTTCAGCAACGTTTTTTAAGGGGGGTCAAAAGAGTCATACAAACAGTGGTGGTTCTCCTTCCCACTGGTGTATGAGTAATCATTTCCTCTGGACTGTAAGACTGTTGAAGATACAGCCGACCCTTCTCAGTCAAACTGTAAGATCCAAACTTTATTACAGAGCGACTCTGCCAGTGAACGTGCGAACATCTTAACAGTGTTCATACATACAGCATCTGGCCCAGACACTGATGGTCCACTGATGTGATTAATGCTCCTGGTGATTAACAATCTCTATGCATAAACGTTCAACGTTCCTCTTACGGGAATTTCCCTTTCAGTAAGCCTTTTTTTGAGTCATTTATATGCCATGATATAAATATATGGAAAGGCAGCGTAAACAGTGTATTGCTTAATAAGATAAGTAGTCTTTTGGCGAATGTTTTATCAAACGGTCTTGTGTTTCTGCCAAATATCTGCGAGGCTTATGTTCCGTACAAGCTCAGTGATTACAGAACCATGTTCTCCTCCTTCCAACGAATACAGTTACCTTAGAGCCAAGAGAACATGCAAACATCTCGACATCACAAGGCTGTGTATTCGAGCTGTATTTCACTGCAACACAGACAGTAACCGGTGTGGCAAAGCACTTCCGTTGACATTCACACGCAAACTTCCACATTTTTCAAACTGTCCTTCGACTGTTGCCAAAATGTCTGGGAAAAAAATACCTCTTGGCTTGATAGTCTTCGCCACAGCTTCAGTAGCTTACAACTGCAAATTCTTGTGCCAGCCTTTCGTTTTTAGTTTGTAATTACCGGCTTTACTGGAGTTTAACTTAACAACAGTGTGCGGGGATAAAAACAGCATTACAGAAAGCTGCACAGGTCCCTCCAATCATGCAGCCAAACGAAGGCCGACATTATGATGATGCTTATGGAAAGTCTAAAAATGATGTCAACTACCTCGTCTTTTACATTGTGTTCTGCATTTCAGACTCTTGCTCCTGCAAGCTTGACACATAATTGAGTGTTACTTATGATAGACTTCTCACCAAGATCTCAGTTCTTTAATGTTTGCATTAGTCTTTAAAGGTCCACTGTGTAAGATTTAGGGGGATTTAGTGGCATCTATTTGTGAGGATTGCAGATTGCAACCAGCTGAAACTTCTCCTGGTTAGAATTCCTTCAGTGTTCATTTTTGAGGAGGTTTTTACCCAGAGTTCTCTTTCTTCTCCAAAACAAAAAAAAACAGGGGACTCATTTATAAAATAGTGCGTAGGATCCATACTCAAAATGTACGTACAGACAAATGACAAAAATGATGTGCACCAAAAAATTCATTTTCATTTTCATTTTCTACAATCAGGCTTCCACCTCCCCAACCTCCTTGCCAATTTCCCGTCGCCAAAATGTTAGAAAGTATGCGTCAAAGTTTCTCCCATCAAGTCTGCTTTTATAGATCACAACTTTTGCGTGGGAAATGGCGTGCGCCTCTTTCAGGTCTCGTTTTGTGCCTGCACAATGTTTATAAATGAGACCCCAGGCTATATAAAGCTGTGAAAACACTGAGTAAATCAGTTTCATGTTCACAAATCAGAGTTTCTGGTACCCTGTTTGGCATGTCGCAGACGGGCAGGTCGTCCATTACTTGCAAGTTTGTTGTCCACTATTTTTGGTCTGATAACTTAATGTGTGCTCACCTTATTTCTGATCCAGACATTCAGGAGGTTTTATCGTGTAGCAGAGTGGCTGCTTACTACATCGACTGACATGAAAACAAGTCCTATCTAGAGCCATTGTTTGTCTGTTCTGGGCTACTGTATAAACATGGCAGTGCAACATGGCGATCTTCGTAGACAAGGGGCCTCTCCCTATGTACATATAAACGGCTGATTTTAAGGTAGCGAAAACACATCAATTCTTATTTTCAGGTGATTATACACTAAAGGAAACATACTTATTATGTGCTGTTCCATTTCTGCTGATATATCCCCATAAATCTTGCACAGTGGATGTTTAAGCTGCTTCTACTGTCACATTATTATTCAACAGTTTCAGCTTCTTGCATACAGGTAGGTGAGCTTTTATTTAGATACTTAACATTTTAGTTTTGGCAACATAAATACTGTTGTTAAAGAGATACATGGGTCAAACAGTTAAATAAATTAGTGAATGAAAGTCCTAGTGAATGAATGAATCAGTAAATAAATGAGATTGATAAAGATGTGTGAGGACGTCATGCTGTGGCTGAAAACAATGTAACCACATTTCACACAGCCTGATAAACTAACTGTGAGTGGAAGCTTGTGCTCATTATTGCGAGGGAGGTGTCGTAAACTTTCTCCTTCCTCTCTGCAATATGTTTCCTTCCTTGTTCCACAGCATAAAAACTGACCCATGTGTCTGGGCATCAGCCACACAAAAGAGATAGGAACTTTCAGAGATAGGTGGGGCATGTTGTTCCCTGTTGACTGCTAGCCCATAAATGTTACATAAAACACGATTTCTGCTTTTTTAAAAGCTGTTGCTACACTGAAAGGTATGTAAGGAGATATCACACCCAAACCAGTACCGTACTGAAAGATGGAGCCACTGGAGGAGGCACAAGGAGACTTTGCTGTGGTACATTCACCCCAGGATATCATTAACCCGTTCCATCTGGTCAGGGACAGCAGCGTACTGAAAAGGGTTTGAAATGTATCTTAGTCATGCTTTAAAATCACAGAGGTGAAGTTTTCCAGAGGCGGCACTCCTCTGAGCTTTGATCTGGACAGGAAGCCAGACACACTCCACAGGAAGAGTTTGGTTGGGAGGCGTCTGAGGGAGCTCATGTACTTTGTCGCAGCACTCACAGCTTTTTGAAATGTAGAATAAGGCATCGGATCTCTTTCACAGTGCGTAACCATGGTTCATGATTCAACTACCAAGACACTCCTGGTGTTGCAGCAAGTCAACAGTGTTCAAACTGCTTTTAATATTTAGTTTTCTGAGAATCTGTGTTGCTACCCGCTACAGTTCAACACTGATGAACCCAGAGCACTCAATTGTTATTGATTTGAACTTTGCACATTTTTTGTGTTCATCCGAGGTAGACTTGTTTACAGGGTCTCTTGTTTACAGAATTTAGCCATGTTGATATCTTTGCAGATCATGTGCTGTTTTCTTCTGCAACATGACACTTGTCTATTCTGAGCCTGGCATTTTACTGATTGTTGGCTTACAGAATCTGCTATTTCTGCCAGGCAGTAATAGCACCATCTAAACCCTCACCAGGCTTAGAGACACACGGGAAAGATACACACTGATGCGTTAAGGTCAGTTTGCAGCTTGTCTTCACCTTGCAGTTTATATTTACTACATCTTTGATGTTTAAAGGTCCAGTGTGTAGGATTTAGGTGCATATGTAGTGGCAGAAATGGAATATTATATATAATTATGTATTTGTTAGCGCATAATCACCTGAAAATGAGAATCCTTGTGTTTTCATTACCTCAGAATGAGCCGTTCATATCTACATATGGGGTGGGTTATCTCCATGGAGTCTGCCTTGTTCTTCTACAGTAGCCCAGAACTTACAAACCATACATTGGCATTTTCATGTTTCCATGTTGGCCATTGTAGTTCTTCTACATGCTTAGCACACAGGAGAAGTTTCAGTTCTGCAACCTAGCCGCTGGGTACCACTTAATCCTACACTCTAGACCTTTAAAAGGCCTGATACACAAAGCCGATGTTGGTCAGTCTTGGGTCATCAGTGAGCATCTGTCAGTGAATGAAATCCTTCTGATTGGCAGTTTAGCTCAGTGACAGAGAAGAGAAATGGAAGTGAGGAACGTAAACAAACAGCT